AAATTTGTCAGAAAACATACTCTGTATGATTTCCATATTTTGAAACTATTCATACTGTTTTGTTGCACAACATGTTGTCTACCTTGGTGGTGATGGTTCCATGGCTATAAATATAAATTATAAATATAAATATAAATACTCTTATTGTTGAATTAGGTTAAAGTGATTTGGTGTTCTTCAAATTGATGTATGCCTTTCTTGATCTCCTAATCTAGTTATTCCATCATTCATAGCAAAAATATTGCTAAATGTTGTTGTTAGTTGCTGTTAAGTTGGTTCCTACTCAGAGCAATGCTATTTACAACACAAAGAAACACTGCCTGGTCTAGTGTCATTCTCACAATCAAAATATGTTTGAGCCATTGTGGTAACCAATATCTGTTTGTATATGAAATATATGGAAATATATTTGGAAATATCCTGGCTGCGATAGGCACAGCTTAGTATTAAAAATGATGTATTTGCTCTTTAAAGCATTAACACTTTGTAGTCTTCTTTTGTAGCATATTTGCACAATGAACTAAGTAATTTGATTTATTGACTACTGTGTCCACGGATGTTCATTGTAGATCCAAGTAAAATGAAATCCTTGACAACTTCAATCTTTTCTCCATTTATCATGATATCACTTATTGGTTCACTTGTGAAGATTGTTGTTTTCTTTATGTTGATATTTAATCCATCTGAAGACTGTAGTCTTAGATCTTCACCAGCAAGCCTTTCAAGCCCTCTTTGCTTTTGGCAAGCAAGGTACTGTCATCTGCATATCCCTGGTTGTTAATGAATCTTCCCCCAATCCTGACACTACATTCTTCTTCACATAGTCCATCTTCTCAGATTATTTGCTCAGCATAGAGATTGAATAAATATGATGAAAATATATGACCCTGATACATGCCTTTTTTTATTTCAAACCATGAAGTATCCCCTTGTTACCTTTAAAATATTTCCTCTTGATCTATGTAGAGGTTCCATATGAGCATAATTAGGTGTTCTGGAATTCCCTTTCTTCACAATGTTATCCATAATTTTTCATGATGCACACAATCGAATGTCTTTGCATAGTCAATAAAACACAAGTAAACATCTTTCTGGTATTCTCTGCTTTCAGCCAAGATCTATTCAACATCAGCAATGATTTCCCTCATAACACATTTCTCCTGAATCTGCCTTGAATTTCTGGCCGTTCATTGTCAATGTACTGTTGTAACAGTTTTTGAATTATTTTCAGTAAAAAATTGGTTATTGAATTCTTTTCAGCAAAATTTTTCTTGTGTAGTGTATTAATGATATTTTTTATAATTTCCACATTCTATTGGATCACCTTTCTTTTGAATGGCCACAGATATGGGATCTCTTACAGCTGTTTTCCAAAGTTCTTGTCATAGACAAGTGAGCACTTAAAGTGTGGTCTGTTTGTTGTCTCAGCTGATCAGTCAATTCCTGGAGCCTGGATTTTTTCTCCTATGCCTTCAGTGCAGCTTATGCTGTTTCTGTCAATATCATCCATTCTTGATTTTTACTTCATTATTTCTATACTTTGTTAAGCTACTCTATGTTCAAGAGCAAGTTTCAGAGTATCTTTGGATATTCATTTTTGTCTTTTTTTTTCCCTGTTTTTTTTTTTTTTTTTTGCTCTTGATGTTACGATGAAGATATTTTCATAACACTGTCCCCTGTTTGCTCTACTATATTCACAGGTATATTTGCAGCACATACATATGTAGAGATAGACTCTGTCAAACCTATATATATTCCTGACTTTTAAATGACTCTTTCCTTTCTTCATGTATGCTATCCTTGGTGTCATCCCACAACTTGTCTGGTCTTCGGTCACTGAACTGGTGTTCAGTGCTACTCTTCAAAAGACCTCTAAATTCTGATGGGATATACTCAAGGTCATATTTTGGCTCTCATGGACTTGTTTTCATTTTCTTCAGCTTCACCTTAAATGAGCAAGCCTCTGGCCGTTTTCTTATTGATGATATTGAGCTTCTCCATCTTCATTTTCCACAGAAGTAGTTGATTTTATTCTTGTGTAGTCTATCTTGTGAATTTCAAGTATATAGTCACCATTTGTGATGTTTAAAAATGTATTGATAGTGAATAGGACATTGGGCATAGAAAATTCTATCATGCATCACTTCTGTCACAAAGACTATATTTTCCTACTACCAAAGCTGCTTCTTTGTTTCCAGCTTCCACATACCAATCACTAATAATTATCAATACATTTTGATTGCACAATTTGTCAATTTCAGACTGTAGAAGTTTGTTAAAAAAATCTTCAATGTCTTCATTTTTAGCGTCAGTGTTTAGGGCATAAATTTGAATAATAATCATATTAACTGGTCTTTCTTGTAGGTGTATGGATATTTGTATGGGTATTATCTTATTGCAGCATAGTTCTTCAGAATAGATCTTGAAATAGTATTTTTGATGATCAATGTGACACTATTCCACTTTCCTAGCATAACAGACCACATGACTGTCCAATTCAAAAGGGCCAATACCAGTCCATTTCAGCTCACAGTGCCTAGGATATTGATCTTTATGCATTCCATTTCATTTTCACGACTTTTAATTTTCCTAGATTCATAATCTGTACATTCCATGTACCAATTATTAATGAAAGTTTGCAGCTGTTTCTTCTCATTTTATGTGTTGCCACATCAACAAATGAAAGCTTTACTCCATCCTTGTCATTAAAGTCAACTCTACTTTGAGGAGATAGCTCTTCCCCAGTTGTATTTTGAGTACCTTCCAACTTGAGAGGCTCATCTTCTGGCACTATATCAGACAATGTTTCAGGGATGTTCAAAAACATTTCAGTGGCTTTTTTTCTTTTTCAAAAGTAGCCTGTGACATCCTTCTTCCTAGTTTGTGTTAGTCTGGAAGATCCACTGAAACCTGCCCCCTGTGGGGGACTGTTGGCGTTTGCAATACCAGTTGCATAGCTTTCCACTTACAGCAACACACAAGCCACCACAGTATGAAAAACTGAAACACAATAGTGACATTACTTACTAGAACATGAATTAGTCTACTTCTTTAATTCTGTTCTTTTTTGCTTCATGTATTTTCACATTTTTAGACATGTGCACATTTATGATCATTTTGATCTTGTGAATTAGCCATTCTATGATTATAAAATATTTCATTACAGTTTTATATACTCCTTGTCTTGAAGTATACATTTGCTGATTTTAATACAGCTAAGTTATTTTAAACAATGAACCCTTTTCATGTGATAAAGAAGCCTCAACAAATCTGAAGAATCAACGTCCTCAAAGTCTTCTCCCTAAGTCCAACATAAAATAGAGAGCTAGCTACACACTTGATTCATTCACCATTTCACAATGTTGATGACATAATGTCTTAAAATACTACCATAAAATTTCAATGACGGTGTTATACATTGGATATGTTGTTGTTGTTGTGTGCCGTCGAGTTGGCCCTGACTCATAGTGACCCCACCTTGGGTTGCTGAGGCAGTATCACTAGGGAAGTAGATTGCCCAAACTTCCTACTGAGGAGTTGCTGGTGGGTACATGGGATATAGCAAAAGCAAAATAAAAATATATTTTAGTTTTTAAATATCAATCAGCAAACAAGAAACAAAATAAAAGCAATAGATATTACAATCTAGAAGGTAGAAAAGAATATACACCTGAAAAACTTAAAAGAAAGGATAATTAAAGCATACATTTACATAAGAAATAAAAAAATCCATATATATGATGCATATATAAATTTTTAGTTGAGCTTTTAGGAAAATATGTTAAATAGATCAAACTCTGGCTGGATGAAAAGAAAGCATGAAATAAAGTTAAATGGAATAAAAAAAAAATTGTATAAATACGCAACATAGAAGAAAACAAACCCATAGGAACATATTGAAAATTTATTCAAGGAAATATAAAAACAGAAATGAGACAAAAATCATTTTCTCAACTACAAAATACTCATATTGACTTAGGAAGAAACAGAAAACCTGAAGTTATTAATGATCATTCCTGAAGTATATTGGGTCAAATTTCTCTTGATGGATTACAAAATGCTGAACAATGGAAAGGACTCACAAGACTTCCCAGAGTGAAATTGCTTGAGTCTTTAATCAAGTAAAGCATGCAGTACAAAGGAAAAAGCAAAATCTGGGAGTTAGAGAGAAGTCCAAAATCTCTCAAATACAGCCTTCCAGATTCTACTTTCAGTCAAATAGGGCACACACCTCATCAGATTATAAACCCACAAGATATATCTGATGTGTCTTAGGATCAGGGAGCTCAGACACAAGTTTATAGATGGATATTTTATACACTGTTCATCATGTGGTCGAAGTAAGGGGGCGTAATCTGTTAAAACAGGTGCATATCCTCAGTCTATACATTTCTAAAGAGTATAAACAAGCTATAAATGACACCTCCAGGTGAATTCTACTTTTTAAACAGATTATAATTCACTCAAAAAGATATTTAATTCTTAGTCTTGCTCAAGACTCAGAACCAGATGACTTGATTACTAATTAATTCTTCCCGTGGCTTATCATCTTCCCCTGGCAGAACATCTTGTAAGGGTTTTAATTCAATGTCAATATATTTGAACTTGGATATCTGTAAAAAAAAAAAGACCCTGATAAGGCCTATTGTTAAGTATGTTGAATCCAGTTAAAACATTGTGATGGCTGGAAATAATTAAAATAGGCTTTACATAAATTATATAAGATTGATCACAGGATTAAAGGAAAAAGATAGAAGAGCAACTATAACAATATAAACCAAAAATGATAATACTAAGGTGTTACAAAGTTACAAATTATTACATACATAAATATAGAACATAATAACTATTATATGATCATTTAAGATACATGGGTACCAAATATTCTATGTATTAAAATCATCCTTTTTATATTTTTAATTTATCATATTTTAATCAAGAAATGTACTTATATTTTAATAGGACAAAAAAAATTTTGCCCACCTCCACCTCAAATTCCTAATTCTGAAGGCATGACAATGACAGTGAATTATCAGGATGGAGAAAAAATATCTATTCTCTGCAAAGAAAATTACATAATTCAGGAAGCAGATGAAATTGTGTGCAAAGATGGAAGATGGCAGTCAATACCACGCTGTGTTGGTTAGTAGTTGATAACATGTTTTAGAACATTCTTTGAAATGAGGTTAATTCTCTACTGTGCTTTGCATGACTGAAAACATAAAAACATTTCTTTGTGTCCTTTACTCTTTATATAAAACAGTATATTAAAATACATATGGCCAAATTAACTTATACTGTGAAATAAACACAGATTTGGGGATATGATCTAAATACCAGATAAATTTTTATTATTATTTTATCCCTTGTGATGATCAAGACAAGAATGAAGGGGGATATTTAACAAGAGATGGTAGCATATATACTGTGATGATATATATCCTTGCAAGTTCCAGGTATTTGTTCCATTTTTAAACAATATCATCTATTTTAATTACCTTTCTTTATAATTCCAAATAGTATTTGATTTTATTTTTCCATTTAGACATTGTATTTGTGCTTGATACATTGATCTCTGTTCATATAGAAAAACTCCCATGTTCTTCACCACCTCCTATCGAACATGGAAAAATTAACTCACCTAGATCTTTAGAAGAAAGGAAAGAAACATCCAAACCTAGTATCTACCCACATGGCACAAAATTAACTTATGTCTGTGAAGAGGGGTTCACGCACTCTGACAATGGTGGTATAACATGCTACATGGGAAAATGGAGTTCACCACCTCAGTGTGAAGGTCAGGGTTTATGAACAAACCATTTTGTAAAATTTATTGAAAATAATTGGTTCTGATCAAAGTCATAAGACAACATAATTTAGATGTACGTCTATAGCTGTTTATATATCTTACCATGAAAGAATTTTTGCATAATCAAATCAATATATTTTTGTTGATTTTGTTGGCTCATCATAGAAACACTTTAAACTCTGGCATTTAGTTTGTCTTAAAATGTGATGCATAGTGTAATTAACCTATGTTTACATAAGTTACAGTGTTTGCTTTGCCAACTGTCATTTTAATTTAAGTATGTTTCTTACAATGTTCCTTCTGATTTTTTAGGGTCAGTTCATCCTCAATATATTTCACTTTAACACTCACGGCTGGCTAGAGAAGCCATGACTATATCGTTCACAAATGCATTGACATTTAAGTCCCAATTTCTTCCTTAGGTTGTGACAGACAGCAGAATGGTGACTTCAGACATTGTGTATCTTCTTTTTGGTGGGAAAGTAACTCCTGTGTTTTCATTACTTTTCAAATGAAATGACTAAATAGGAGACTAGTACATAAAATTAAATTTCAGAATAAATGAAACATGAATGCATTCTCCCGTTGTTTCTCAAGGACTGCCTTGTAAGCCACCACCTTCAATTTTTCACGGTGTTGTATCTCATGAGTCAGACACCTACCAACATGGAGAAGAAGTGACATACAACTGTACTCACAGTTTTGGCATCGATGGACCTGAATCTATAAAATGCTTTGCAGGAAAATGGCCTTCCCCAAATACAGAAATAAATCTGTATTTATTTCACAGTATAAGTTAATTTGGGCATATGTGTTTTAATATATTGTTTTATATAAAGAGTAACAGACACAAAGAAATGTCTTTTTGTTGTTCAGTCATGCAAAGCACAGTAGAGAATTAACCTCATTTGAAAGAATGTTCTAAAACATTTAAATAATTTTAAATATTAAACTTACTTTTAATATTTAAAAGTATTTAAA